TCAGTATTATTCTAATAGGAACTGAGGTAATAAATGTGATTGGGTGAGGTCAGAGAGGGGTTCCTACATAGTAAACAGCCATGTCAATCATGATAACAGTCTCTCTGCTCCCCTCTCTGCTAATCTGTCACATGGAAAGACAATGCTGCTAGTAAAGTCCAAATCCTCTTAAATCTCAACAGTAGATTGTAAAATAAAATTGAAGTCATCAAATTAAAGTGCAGAGTGAGCACGTCTACAGGTCTACAGCGCAGAGCTGTGGAACGTAACATTTCCTACTATTGTGTTAGGCTAGGCTCTGCTGTGCCATGGATGATTTACACACAATGACCTCATCAGGCGTAAATGGATTTTCATCATCATATAACTGATAAGGTCTGTAAACTACAATTGTTTGGGAAAACCTGCACCCGACTTTACTGTAATATGCCAACGTATTCTGCAGTAGCCATGGAAAACATCTAAGATCTGATCTTATTTAAAAAATCCCAAACTATTTCAGAGGGTCAGTGGACTTCTTGCCCCATCAATAGTCTATTGCAGAGGGACTAACAGTGTCACCTGTGTATTTCCTTAATCTGCTTTGTATTCCTCTCCCCTAGGGCAAAGAACACAAATACAGAGGAGACTACAAAACACAGAAGTTTCACACAGAAAAGCTGAAATACAAAAGTGCTAAGGACTACTCCTGATGATTTACATGAGGGACATACTCTTAATATAACCCAAAATATTGCACGGGGCAGTGGAGGTACAGCGGGGAGTTAACTTGGTGCTTTGTCACTCGGCTCTGTGGCCACACTAGGAGGAGATGATTTTGGAAACTCCTGAGTAAGACAGCTGGCACAAGTGACAGCATTGCAACTAAAAGTGCTGTTTTCACAGCTACTTCTCTTTAGTTACATAAGCAGGCAAGGCCTTTTGGATGTGACAATCCATCCTGTCAGCTATTTGTTGCTGAATACAGGGGCTAGTAATCACCCCCAGAACAGCCGCACAGAGAGAGCAATCCAATAGTTTGGATTTTCTCTGTTTCGTGGGTGCCCCAGCAGCACAGTACTGATCTCTCATGGACACTCTGCCTTCATCTGTAATAACACTTAACAATTAAATCTAGGTCAAGAGTTGAAACAACAAGAACTAATTGTCTATATAACTGTACCATTTCTTGAACTGTGATGATAAACAAAGACAAAAAAACCCCAGATGTTTTGAAAGACTTCAGGAAACTCTTCCTAGGTATTTCATTACTCTTCGAAGAGGAATGGAAATTTAATTTGTGAATTTGCACAAATCTCCTCCCTAGAATTACAAGTGGTTCTCTTGTCAAATTATGCAACACCTTCTAAAATCTTTACATATTTTAAAAATATGGATTAATCTGCTTTGTAACTCTTTCTGCCTAAATGCACTGGCACTATGTTTTAGAGCACAGTGCCACAACCTTATCAGGCAATTGGGAGTGTTTTATGGAGGAGCAAGTAAACCAAAATGTTACAGCACCTTTACCTTCCTGACCAATATATTGTAAATTCAGTGTCATGGATCAATATTACAATTGAGTTATATCACTTTCTGCATCAAAGTCATATGACTGAGATGCACTGAAAATATTAAAAGAAGAAGGACAAAATTAATGCAGAAACCCCTCCCTACCCCCAAACCTTAAACAAAACCATTCCACTTTCTACCACCCTGCTAAAATAAGCTTTTTGACAGATGCTAATATTCTGAGCTGGCTGGCAGCCTGAAATGAGCTTGTGGGAATCAGGTAGGGGTGGCTTAGAGAGAACACAAGCCTCCTGTGAGGTTATTTAATGTTTTCCTGATGTCTCGGGTGCCCATAATTGGTCATTGAAGATAAAATCCTTGCCCACAGAACACAAAATCCGTGCAGCAGTGTCCACAACGCAAAATCTAGGGGTCATAGACAATGTGAGTGCAAGGAACAGGATTCTGGGTATCACTACACAGCACTGCCACCCTTTCCACAAAATGCAATCCATGAAGAGATCATTCAAGGGTTGGGAGCAGATGAGTCACAGGCATCTATGGGTTAGCATTATGTAGGTTCTGATTTTAAGTCTTGTTGTTTTTTCAGCATACAAAATATACACAAGCTATTTTTATTGAATGCTGCTATAACAAACACCTCTTGCTGACTGCTCTCTGCAGAGGGCTTTAAAACAAACTGGTTTGCAGCTTTAAGAGTGCAACTGAGACTGATCTTGACTAAAGCGCAGTTGTTCGCTGAATATAACTTTGCTGTAACTGCTGACTTCTCAAAATACATGCACCTCTAAGAGCTGTTGTTATATTTCTAGCGGCAATAGCATATATTTGCAGTACTGCGTAGTGCTGGGTTCCCTCCACAATGTTCTCATTCTCTCTGCAGTACCAAAATGTTTAGACCAGTCATCCAGAAACAAAAACTCATGCTCTCTATAGCACATATAGCATTCTCTCTGAGATCAAAAGAAATACCAAGGTAGTCATTTAAGCATGCAGCAAATATCTAAAAATAGATTTACTCCTAAACTTATATGATTCATAGGTATTCACATCAACTATCAACAACTCTGGCTTTATTTTCCATTAAAAACTCCCAGAAAATTAAATACAGATCTAGAAGTCTGCAAGCATGAACATTTTAACTGATTATTAGGAGGTGAACTGTGTTCTATGTCATGCCTACCATCACCAGTAAATGCAGGATGGCTTATCGCTCACTGAGAGAAGGATGAAGAGCCCCATGCTTACCACAGGGCAAGCTTATCCCCAGAGCCAAGCACTGCGGTGGAGGTAACAGTGGAGGCCAGAGCCTCGCTGACCCTTCTCTGAGCACCCACACTCTGAGCACTTCTCTGAGCACCCACATCCTACACCAAACCTCTTGTTTTAATAAAACATGGATCACGAGATCTAGTTCCAGGAGACCTTCCAAATTCTTTTCAGAAATGACAGGGTTGGCCTCTCAGAGCACTTAACAGCACAAGCATACCTCCTGCATAGCGTATTTCCATGTTTTCAGTGTGGCATATATGGAAGAGGAATATCACTGTCTCATAATACACACAACTTGCTTCTGGCCCCTTAATTGCTAGGAGCAGCTCTAAACTCGTTTTATGCAGGGAGCGGTTTATGTTTATGTGAGATTAACTTGACCCTGATTTGATTATGTTCGGAAATATGACAGAACAGCCTACACCACTACTTCTCAGACGTGTTTGTGAAGGGCTTTAAAGATTTACAGCACACTAAATGCAAAATCTTGAACATTGTGATGTCAGGCACAGTGCTATTGGTGCAGTAGTGAAAATGGTAGCATTGTAACATTCTCAGTGTACTGAAACCAATCACTAAAATACTCTGTTTATTTCTGCATAGCACCATTAAAAGCAACTGGCAACACACAGATGCATTCAGTCTAGTATCTAGAGAATAAAGACAAGTTTTTCTAATTACTTTTGACTTCAACTTTCTGTACTCTGCAAAGTTTTCTTCACTGTGAAGTACTGAAAAATAATACATCAAGTTAGAGGCACCAGGTAAGCCTCTGTTACAGCTATATGGTACAGATGAGAATCAAAGAGTTTTGCTTAGTACTCCATCGGAATTCTGCTTACTCTGCTTCAGGTTAATTTGCATTTAGATGTGGGAATTTTACAAACGAGATATGACAGTTCAAAATATTATTTCTCCCACATGGAAAAATGTCAGGAAAAGTATCCATCTGCATTCAGAACTGCACCCGACTCCTCCGTTGCCTCTAATAAGACAGTGTCTGATTTCATTCAGACAAACAGATGCATTCATTTCTTTCCCAGGATGAAAGAAGAAATATTTGTAAGTGACAGCATATTTATCACTCTGCTAGTGCTAGTTTCATCTTTATATCCTTCTCAAACCGTTCAGGTACATCAGTTTGAAACCTTGCTCAATAAACATTTACTTTCCACCGCGCTTTATACATCTAAACATTTCTGGGGTCTTATCAATAATTAATCAAGTGGAGGAAGTGTCACATTACCTTCTATTTACTTAGTATCCTGTAGAACACAGCTTCCCTGAGCCCAGTTCAATAATAATTCCTTAATGAAAATGCAGGTCACAAAAAGCATACCCAGTCAGAAACAACTGCTTTTTATACTAATCTGCCTTACAGATGAGTAAATTCACTAAACAATTTGTTAAACAAATACTACCATGTTTACTTTCTACAATGCAAGAAAGGCAAAAGCTGAGAAGCATTCCCAGGAACAAATAAATCACAATAATTATCCTTTTTTAAACAATCATAAAAGCAATAATACAGTGTTTTTGCATCTTTTACTGCCTACATTAAGCAACTAATGGTGCACAGGGAGCTGAATATCAAATAAATACTGCAGATTATGTGCTGCTGTTTATGCCTGTGCAATACAATTCTGATTCTCTGTGTATGTCCCATTTCATCAATCATATCAAATCCAGTCACGACACACACTTCAACGTCCTTAGTGTGAAAAAATTTTTTCATAATTTCAGTTATTTTTGAGTGTGAATAGATACATCTGATTACCAGTGACTTGCATATCAAGATTTATTGCATTTTGAGCATGTTTTTACTGAAGGTGTTGAGCAGTCATTTAAAATACTCTTCCCCTTTACTGTTTAACTGCAACACACAAACTACTGAGGAGTTGATTTCCTCTCTTTGTAAAAGGAGTGACTTGAGGTAATGCTAATGGAGATTATTGAGGCGGACCATTAAATTTTTAGGCAGCCTCAAGTTTCCAACAAGACTAAGAAGTGCCACTTACAGACTATCTTGTGTAAAGTAAAAGTTCAGCAAAAGAACATTCTACCCTGCCATGATTAAGTCTCATTTCCATTGTACAATTGGACAATAGAAGATTAATATGTACATTATGTTCTGTAAGCATAGTTACATCCAGAAAAACAGGGTCTGAGGACAAAGAAGGGGATGAAGAGAGAAAAGAAATAGTTAACTGGTTTACCTGATGCTGTACAACACTTTCCCCGTTTTAGAAATCCTCAGCAACTTGTTGTCTGTTGTGACATCATGGAAGTTTGCTCCCTTCTCATTGGCAAAGAATAAGTCCGGCTTCCAAATAGAATCCAACATAGAGGGATCCAAATCCAAGGAATCATCGGGATATTCACTGTAAGCCAGACGTGAGTCGTTCCACTGCTGTCTCAAAAAAATATTCACTCTGTAGTCCTACAGAAATGCCATGTGAAAAGATTACTCAGCCACTTACCAAAACTGGAAGCCTACTTTAGCTTTCGTTATGTTCTTAGACTTACTACAGCATCAGCGTTACAGCAAATGTTTATGTTATCCTTTGAACATAAGAGTTGTCACTTGAAAACAAAGCGCTCTAAATGTTGCATCAAACCAAACACAACTGGTACATTTTCCAAATCAAAATTACTTTAATGATGAAAAAAAATATTAACTGCAACCTCCAATATTAAATACAACCTTCTTTCAAACGCTACAGATTAACTCAGAGGTACTTAGAAAGTCAAAAAGCATTGCAGCTAGATGCACACACTTTCAACAAAGATTCTTTAAAACTACTAATTTAAGTAAATTGCTTCCAATATATAAATCGATTCTTTCTAATGTACTCATGAATAGTTGCTAATTCCTGTGAAGCCAGATTTGTACAGAAGAAATTAAATCAGCACTTTTTATTTAATGTTTATATCCTTTTCCTTTCTACCATATGCTTTTCTCTGTATGTTCCTTCATTCACTTCTCCCTCTCTGCATCCCATTAAAATTGTTCTAATTGTATTCTTCTGCTCAGTGCTCTGCTAGTCACAACTGAGAAAGGCACCAATTACTTATAGGTTCATTTAGAACCAACACTAACACTGTGTCAAGAACTGGCTATTACAGGGAAGTGTGAAAAGAGCTTTTAGGATCTAAACTCTCTGGAGGAAATGGAAAGATGCTGCATGCTTCTTCTCCTTATCCTGAATTTCCAAATTCAGCAAGTAAGAGATTCTTCTCCCCTATTTTTCCCTCTCATTATAGCATATTTACCTGAAATTATTACATTTAACTTGTGAACACTTTCTTAGAAATACATCTACTCTTCCTCTAAAAGAAAAATATTTAATAATGTTTGTATCAATTTTATTATCTGAAGGAACATGTTATTAAATATTTCTGCCAACTGTAAAAACACCTCACATTTAGGATTTGCTTTACGACAGCTGCAGTACATTAAAATCACAGCACTGTGTTCTTGACTTGGAAAATGTATGAGCTGACCTGGGTTTAGTAAGGCCACTGAACTACATAGCATAAGGAACTTATCAACCTTGAAATATAAATACTCTCGCTCTGATTAGAGCTGCAGAAAGCAGCTTGCCCAGTGTGCAGACTCTGTGAACAAGCTCCTCCACGCTTCAGCATTTCCCACCCTTTCTTCAGTATGTCGGTGACAAGGTGTGCTGCTGTCCTGACAGAATATTTCTGACATCCCAACTGATGTAGTTTTTGAACTCAATGGGATGATGTTTTCAGTCTCACTAGGAACATGGTTTTTCTTGATTTCTATATCGTTTTCATTTTGTTGTTGAGTAGATGTGAGTCAAAATAGGGATGTCTGTTAGTCAGAGGAGGGCAGACCTGGTACAGGTCTCAGGAATAACACACTTATTAAACATACTTACAAAAGCCTGTTTCTGTTTTTCACAAGCTACTGTACTTTTCATGATGGCGTTGTTTCATACAGTTAAAGATCAAACAGCTACTTGCAACTTATACAGTGTTGTCACAGCTTGTGAGGATATGCTAACGGTAAGCATACTTTCCCTTGTTTCTTGGCCTTAGAAACTGTCTTATAAGTTTATATGGGACAGTTTTAATTATAAATCCAGGAAAACACTTGATTTTCATTCTGTGGGAAAGAAGGCAGGAGCTGTTATCAGCATCTGCTGACAGAATAAAACTGCTAAAACTAGTTGTGCAACTGCCTTTGACTTTGAAATAAGATATATAATGAGGTCCATGGAAAGCAGAGGGTTTTCCCCCCCGTGACATAGAAATCTTAAATAAATCAAATCAGTAAGATGTTTAAAAATATCTAAAAATAAACGAGCTTTCCTGAACATCAGTAGTTGGTGATTTAGATAAGAAAAAACAGTCTGAAAAACCCTTATTCATAGAATAGCATACATACAATGATATATATTATACCAAAAAGCATAAATAATGCAAATAAAATTACACTATCTTTTTCAATATGTACATTCATAAATAGATCAGAGCCACCACAGCAATACGTTTAAAATTGTTTTCTCCCTGCAAGCTTTGTTATTAGAAGCAAAACAGCACTGCAACTTTTGTTTATGTCTGATAGGCTTTGTGTATATATATATATGTATAGATATTTTAGTAAGAAATAAAAATGGAAATACCACATGCACATCACAAAACTATCATTACCTTTTTCTCCTATGCTTGCAGTATAAGCAGTTGAGAAAGATGTGTGTTTATACACTCAGACCTAATCATCTGAAGAATTTTGAATGTACTTTTCCTATGCTAACATTTTAACTATGTTCTGAAAAAAATTCTCCTGAGAACAGTGTCACAACATGCAGCTCAGGCAGACTACAGCGTGTATTTTGCAAGTTCCTGAGAAGTGGGTGGACCGTAGTAATGCACTCCCACATGACAACGAGTACACCTGCTCCACAAATTCTTTCTGACAGCACCGCTGCTCTCAACCAGGAGTGCGGACCTGAAGATTCAATCTCAGTTGAAACACCAATGCCAGTGACAGCTCAAGGCAACTCAGATAAACAATTTTCTTCTGTTCTCAAGCCATAAGATCAGAGTAATACCCATATACTAAAGGAATATTCATCTGATTAGTATTAGTAGATTTATCTGAAGATTTAGGGATTCAATCCACAGATACACTTAGTTTGTGTTATAGGAATCTAGACAGAAATGGTCTTTCAGCAAATCTAGGGCCACCAGTGGCCCTTTCACCTCAGGCACTGCTGTGGCAGGGAGGTGCAGGGAAGCCCCTGAACTGACACCCATATTCCCTTCCAACAGCACTGCTCACCCAGGTGTCAAGCCAGACGTCTGAGACAAACAGCAGATTTAGCTGGTCTTCCATGCACAGGAGTGTGTTGCCAAAGAGACTAGTCTCTCTCTCTCCAAATCTTAAATGTTAACAAAAGTAGTGGTTTAATGACCTATTTCAAGGTCGTGCAACAAAAAACCACTTGTTTACCAATGTACCTAAGCATGAAAGATGCTCCCAATGGCTTCAGTGGGAGTCTCCCATGCAGTTAAATCATGTGAATTAATCAAGATCTAACAAGCTCTTCTGTAACGATGTTTTTTTTTTCCTAACGGGAAGATAATACGCAGTCAGCCACAGCCAAGCTTTTAAAATAAAGGAATGGTGAATTTTTCTGCTAACATAAGTACTCAAAATACAACTGGAGTCTGATGCATTTACCCCAACAGCGAACCTGCTGCATAGTGTCAGTCATTGATTATAGGGCATAACGACAATGATAATGTCCTCACAGTTAGTCATTTCTGTAATTAACAATTAGCTTGTCAATGTGCAAACTGCTTTTAGCTTCTCCTACAGCTGATGGCTAAAAAATCCTGGTCATTAGCAACACTGAACATCTGAATTATTTGGGACTCTGCCCAGCCTGATGTAGATTACTCATCTGTGATACTCAACTGCAGTCATGCTGTACAGTGAATTTTTTCTGCTGAATACTGCATGTGTGAATGCTTCCAGAAATAGATACAGAGCTTACTGGCATAACTGCTTTATTCAGCGAAGTTACTTAGGAATGTCTTTTTCACTTCCTATGAAAGTTAGGACTTAAGTGAAAGACGGGAGAATCAATTAAGAAAAATTTCAACAATTGCATCTTGTCTCTGGCCTTTTTTTTTAACTATCTTTATTTTGGTATAATATATACCATTCTAGTATGGAAGAAAGCACATTTTTTGAGAAAAACAAAACAATTTTAATACTGTCCCATATGTGCATTATAGGGCAAAAACACTAATACATACGCATTTTTCCTACATGTTTGGGAACAAAACTCGTGAAGACTTTATGGAATTCATCTGCTTTAGGAGAACCAGCACAAACTCCTGTTTTATTTCTGAATGGAAGGTTTTAGCTTCTAGAAGAATATGCTGGATTTAAGAGTCGTGCTGGCCTTTCACAGAGGGAGAAATTTCATCCTGGTGTCTGTCCTAATCAGAAACCAGAAGGTACTCCTGCTTATATTATTGAGAACCTGGCTTACTCAGTTTAGTAGGTTTGGGATCATAATTCTGTTTGCCACGTTTATTTCTCCTAGTAAAAGCTTCTCTAAACAATTTTTCATCTCCCAAGTTTCCAATGAGCTGCTGTAGATTATCCAAGTTATATTTTGATGATGCCCCTTCAGAATATATACATGATTTCTCTAAGCATTCCTGTCCTCTGAGTCAGGAGTAACTCGATTGAATTTACATTCCGGGATTTTAAATGAATCTCTTAGTTTTATGTCAAAGCCATTAAGAACATTTTATAGGAAAGAAGGAATCCTAGGAGTCAAACAAAACTCATTGTTTATCACAAGGGATGTCAACATTTTACCACAATTACATCTATTTCGGAAAAGCAAAGTAGATGGAACAGTAATCAATGTCTGCCTCTCAGAGCAATTTTAAAACATCCTAAAACTAGTCACATTAACTGTTAGAGAAGCGACAGCATTAAGAAAATCAGTATCAAACCATCGAACAGCAGCTAAGAGAAATCTTTTCACACTTTCAGCAGATATTATGAATAAAGCAAAATAAGAAAGCCAATAGTTTTTGTCTTCATCTACTTGAATGTTTGGTTGTTTTCAGCAGAATGTGTTAATGAACATTGGAAAGGTGCACATTAACATATTTAATAGAAGGTAAAATGCAATGAGGGGATTTAATCAAAGCAATGAAGGAGTCTAATTAATGCAATCAGCATTAGGTCGTGCAAATATTTTCATTGAATGCCATCTTGTAAAGCCAGTGACGTGCAGGATATTTGCTATTTAATGTTATACTGATGTCTCTACACACTAGGATCAACAGACATGGCTACGTAAAAAAGTTTACATTAATAGCTATATTTCAGAATCCTTTAAATATAGGAAATCAAAGCTTTAAAAAATGAAAATTAAGTCTCTTTATAATTATGTTACATCAAGATTTTTTTCCCCATAATTTTAACTCGATTTTAGTTTTCTTTTATGGTGTTTTAATATATTACAGATGCATACTCTAAAGCTTTAACTTATCTATTTCTTTTATACATCTCTATGTTATAGCTTGTCATTTATAGAAGATTGTTTCTTACACTATTTAAGAAAGCAACCTGCCCTAGCAATAAGTTGTCCTTTATCTCTAGAAAGCATTGTGTTAATTTTTTTTTGGGTGTTAAATAAGTATTTAGAAGCATAAGATTTATGTTCCTACCTTCCCTAGGCACCATTTCCTAAAACAATGGCATGAATTACAATTTAAATTAAATTACATATTTGAATATGAAATAAAATAATAAAGTTGGCTGAAATATCTGCTCTTCATAATGTAAGGATTGCAAAGAGGTATCTATCCCATTTTATAAAAAATATTTTTTTGGTATACATTAAGTCCTTTTGTGGGTAGCAAGTTCATTTTTATTTACCAAGAACTGAGTCCTATGGGTTGCTAAACACCCTTACTCCCTCTGGCTTCAGCAAACACAGAAAGAACTGGACACTGTGTAGGAATCCTCGGAAAATGGAGTTGTGAAAATACACTGTGATTGCTTCAACAGTGTCCATAGTGTCCTAAGACAATGGGAATAACTCTTGCAAAATTACAATGAAGGTGAAAACACCCATCTTTAGTTTATTTTGTGGTAGCTATGAGTTGAAAAGTTCAATGTCAAGCTGGGATTTGTCACTAGGTCCCTTCCAGAATGTGTTTAACCCACTTCTTGTATATAAGCACCTGATAATTATTATGGGGTTATTACATTATCACCAGAAAACCACCAAAAATACCTCTCTGGACTAACTCCAGCAGTCAGGTGTATGTATGCTTGAGTAAATAACTGATCTTTTTTCTTCACTCTTTGTAAAAGAAGATTAAAATCTCAGCATCTTTTTAAATACATGCAGAAAAAGTGGTTTTCATTTTTCTTAGAAAATATTGAATAAAAGAAAATTCAATTCTGGCCTAAGAAAGAAAAAAGTTGGACTAAAATTTGTGTTTTCCACTTTTAATTTGACTTTACTAATCTTAAATTTTGGCAATTTTAGAAAAAAAAATCTTATCCTGAAATGAAAAATTAAACTATATGTTTTTATAGTTATCAAGATTAAAACTGACATTTTCATTTTACCTATTTTTTTTGACTGATGGCGTTCTTTGAATTCAGTCAAAATACACATTTCAGTCAGCCAAGATCCTATCATTTTCTAGTACCAATTTAACTATCAAAATACTCCAGTCTCCTTATAGCTCTATGTTTTAGTCAGTTGACTTGAGTTATGCATTCACTTCAGTTACTGATGTGACTGCAATTCACAGAGATTTAGCTAAGTTAAACAAGACCATCCTGGCAGCTCTGCCAGCATAGTCTGCAGCAGCAGATAATTCAGCATGTGCTGCAAGACCTGCTCAAAATATGGAGCACTTGGCAGGGAGCCTCACAGCTGAACTCCAGCTATTCCTCTGCCTCTTCAGTGCTAATAAAACCTGAGACAGCTGGGTTGTTACACGCACCTGTGTTTGCTGCCATCACAGTCACTACAGACTGTGGTGTGGTCACCTCATATGTATGTTTAGACTTGGTAGTTGAGTTCAATAATTTGTATATCTCTTTTTATAGATATTTTCTATTCATTTTATTTTAAGTCAGCTGGTAGGTTTTTAGTAGCTTAATAACCTAGTAAATGTCCCCACGTCCTGAGCATCTCTATTCTACATCACATCCCACTCCTTCACAAGATGGCTTCAATGACCAGTCCCACTCACCATTGTAGTTTCTGCTATTGAACCAAAGCTGTTGATAAATATGTTGCAGGTAACATTTACAGGAGGACCTGCAAGTTGAACAATAAATAGAAAAATTGACAGGTTGTGTTCATGACATATGTTAAGTATTGTTGTTCTTTTGCCAATGGCATCGTAGCACTTACCATTGTGGTTTCTGTGACTGATCCAAAACTGTTGATAAAAATATTGCAAGTAACGTTTACTGGAGGACCTGTGGAATGCAATAAAAATGTTGCAATATACATTGAAACAAAAGCACAGATCCCTCAGCCTCCGTACAATCTGGTACAGATGTGGCTGAAAACAGGTAGAAAGTGAGTTTTCCCAAACAGATCATGTAAATATTGATCAACAGAAAAACATTATCAACTCTAATCTAATTAATCTAGTTTCATCGGAAGTTGTTACATAAATACACAGAACTACATCCTTGTGTTTAAGGATTTATGAGAAGAGTTGAGAGAGGGTATGAGCCTAACAGCTTTTTCTTTGTCCACAGTACCAATGTAGAACAGGCTGTAGCATTGCAACCACTTCTCTCTCCTTTCCTTCTCAGACTTCCACACTTATTCCACTCTGCATGCAGAGGCTTCTCACTGAAATTTCCAGTAAGGGCCACTTTTCACATTGATTGTAGTCCGGTTCAAAATGGACTTGGACAGTCAGCTCTTTGTGCACCTGATCTGGAGATGTCTGTCTTGCAATAAATAAATATTTTAACAATATCTGTTCTGGCTTAACACAGCTTTTGTTAAACAACTCTATGTAATCTTTTCCCTCCCACCTTTTTCCCCACTGTTCAGCAGTCACTGATGTGTAGCAGAATGAATGGGGACTTAATATTTAATTACTTGTCTATTAGCCTCCTACTTTTTTAGATCTGACAAAATAAAAAGGGCTTCTCAACTGAATCAAAAAGGATTAATGCTAAATGCCTGAACTTCAGCTACCCAAAAGTTTTGAGTATCAATTACATTCTTCTCTCTTTTCTCATTGCTATTTTTAATCACATATTTTTCCTTATATTAAAACATACAATGTCAGTGCACAAACTATATATACCTAGGTTTGTTTTCATATTTAGCTCTGAAGTTGCTTAGCAAAAGATGGAAACATTACTTTATATTTTTTTTGTAGAACTGAAAGATAAATAATGTGCCTAGTGAAATCCGTTGCACTATCAGATTCCTGAGCGCTTGACCACCTATCTTCAAGGAAACAAACAGCTTGGTTTGGGGAAGAAAATACACAGCACTAATATGCAGTTCTTCAGCTCAGTTTTTGCAACACTTGTTTTAAAGAAATAGTTAAATATTTGCTTAATATTTACTGCTGTAAATAGTCTGCTGCTCTCCCTCCATAGTATCATGTTTTTCTTTTTTACTTGATATTTGTACTAGCTGAACACCTTAACCAAAACATTTCTCCACATCTAAACAAACAGAATCACTGAATCACTGAAGTTGGAGGAAATCTCTGGAGATCACCCAGTTCCTCTAGCCCATCTAGTCCCAGAACAGGATCAGCTTGAACAAGGTACTCAGGATCATGCACCATCAGATTTTGAAAATACCCAGGCATAGAGACTCCACAGCTTCTCCGGGCAACTTGTGCCAGTGCTTGATGACTCTCACGAAAAAAGGCTTTTCTTACATTTAAGTGGAATGTCCTGTGTTTCAGTTTGTGCCCACTCCCTCTTCTCCTGTAACTGGGCACCACTGAGAAGAATCTTTACTTAACTCCCATCAGTTATTTATGCACATGAATAAGATTCCCATGGATAAGATCTTGAGGCTGAGCAGCCTCAGAAATCTCAGCCTCTTCTTGTATGACCCATCCATCAGTCCTTTAATCACCTTTGTGACCCTTTCCTTTACCCACATCAATAAGCCCACGTCTCTCTTATATTGAGGAGCCCAGAGACGGTCATGGCACTCCAGATGTGTTTCACTAGTGCTGAGCACCGTGAAGGATGCCCTCCCTCAAATTGCTGGCAATGCGCTGCCTAATGCAGCCAGGAAGGCTCTTGGCTGCCTTCCCTGCAAAGGCACATTGCTGGCTCATCTTCACCTTGGTGTCCACCAGGATCCTCATGGCCTTTTTGGCAAAATTGCATTCCAGATGGTCATCTCCCAGATTGTTCCTCTCCAGTTGCAGGACGGCATTTCCCTTTGCTGAATATAGTGATACTCTTGTTGACGCATTTTCTGTTAAGAGTGCACTCTATCCCATCATCCAGGTAATTAATGAAAATGTTAAACGGTATTAGTGCAGTATTGACCCTGCAGTACAAAAGTAGTGACTGGCCTCCAACTTGACTTTGTGCTGCTGATCACAACTGTTTAAGCATGGCAGTTGAGCTGGTTTGACATATGCATCACTGTTCACTTAGCTGTCTGTTCCAATAGTTTGTGGTGCATGTGGTGAGGGTGCCAAAAGCCTTGCTCAAGTACTGTTTAATACCATCATCAGTGATATAGACAGTGGGATCAAGTGAATCCCCAGTAAGTTTGCAGCTGACACCAAGCTGAGTGCTGTGGTTGACACACTTGAGGGATGGGATGTCATCCAGAGGGTGCTGGAAAAGCTTGAGAAGAGGAACTGTGAAATCTCATGAGGTTCAACAAGACCAACCAAAAGGTCTTGTATTCACCAGTATCAGTAAAATCTGGGGGATGAGGAAATTTAGAGCAGCCCTGCAGAAGAGGTCTTGGGAGTAATGGTGGATGAAAAACTGAATACGAGCCATCAGTGTGTCCTTGTAGTTCAGAAAGCCAGTCTCATCCTGGGCTGCATCAAAAGAAGCATGGCCAGCAGGTCAGGAGAGGTGATTCTCCCTCTCTACTCCACACTGGTGAGATCTTACCTGAGTACTGTGTTCAGCTCAGCAGTCCTCAGCACAAGAAAGACATGGACCTGTTAGAGTAGGTCCAGGGGAAAGCAACTAAAATGATCAGCGGGATGGAGCACCTCTCCTATGAAGAAAGGCTGAGAGAGTTGGGGTTGTTCAGTCTGGAAAAAAGGAGGCTCCAGAGAAACTTTATTGTGTCCTTTCAATATTTAAAGGGAGCTTATAAGAAAGATGTGGACAGACTTTTTAGCAGGTCCTATTGCAACAGAACAAGGTGTAATGGTTTTAAACTGAAAGAGGGTAGATTGAGATTAGATTTAAGGAAGAAATTCTTTACTGTGGGGGCAGTGTGACACTGGAACATGTTGCCCAGAGAGGTGGTAGAAGCCCCATGCTGGAAATATTCAAGCTCAGGTTGGACAGGGCCCTGAGTAACTTGATCAAGTTGAAGATGCTCGTTGCAGAGGGGTTGTACTAAGTAACCTTTAAATGTCCCTTCTAACCCAAACTGTTCCATGTTTATGATTCTATGATTTGGTAAATCTAAGCACTGTCAGAAAAAAATGGCCATGTTCTCTTCATCCTCAGAGTTTTTTGGAAAGAGCTTTATTGGTGAGATATCATCAACTGAATTTTTTTCTGATCATTTGCATCTGTTTATAAACTTCAAAAGCGTAATGCAAGATTTGCAACAAAATGAGAATAGAAGATACTTATTAGAGGATGTTAAAAATTAACAATTGATCAAATAATTTACAGATTAAGCTAGAAGTCCAATTTTCTCTTAAAGTCAGTCTGCTAGTGATAGGGATTCTAAATACGCATAGGAAACATAAGCCAAATAAAACAGATAAGGTAAAGATAACTAGCTGAGCACTGAAGTTCTCAATGCTTTTTTTTCTTTTTTTTGTAATTGATCTTTTTTTTCTGCTGTTGATATTCCAGCAGGGAAGCAGTGCTATACATCTCAAGGAAGTAGCACACTTTAAAGAGGGCACACAGTATCACTTTTCCCAGTGAAATATTTCACACACTCCATCCTGCAAGACTTTTTTAAAAATATATTCTTTTAAAATTAAACTATTAAACTTTTGTGAAGTATAGCCAAGATTTGAGAGTATAGCCTAAAACTCTTTAAAGGCAATGGAAACATTTAATTGAACTTCATTGTCTAAAATCTAAAAAGTGTTGATATTACCTCTAAAAATTAAGCAAAGTATACTATATAGTGAAATTCTTTCTTTCCCCCTAGTTTTCCTTTTGTCACCTCCAATGCAACAAGGTAATAGTCCATGTGTCTTTCAGGCACATTCAAGATAGCTAAAGTGATTTTTAAGTAATAAGGAAAATGTCTATTTCTTGAAAGGAATCGCAGAAAAAATAAAAAAAGCCAATACCAAACCAGGTAGTTAATGCTCAAATCCACCAGAAAGTAGATGTCTGGTATTCTTACAAACAGCTAAGAAATCGCTTCTGTTCCTTGCAACTCCCAACCCCTTGCTTCCCCAGAGGATCTGCTGCTAGTGCCGGTGGATGGGACTCTCTAGTACACTACCTTCTTGAAAAGCCCTGACATTATAATGTGTCATACACCTCCTGTGACTTCAGGGCACTTAGCACCTACAGAAAGTCCTCAGCACTCATCTGCTCACCTTATCCATAAAAAAGAGAAGAATATACCAAAAATTTCTCTGAATTTGCTGCTTCATATTCCTGTTGGTATAGTTCCTATACCAAAGGCAGCTTGACCTTGATGCTGTCTGGCTAGAGAATGGATTCCTTCCTTGTTAACTGTCAGAACAAGTGAATCATCCCAATGTGTGGGGAGGACCCTATATTGAGTGATGAGTGCTGGAAGATGCACAATGAGCCCTATCCAGCTGCTGAATATTCTCCAGTGTTAATAACACATGGCCCCAAAGCTTCCTTCAACTGGCAGGTTCTTGAGAAGATTTACTTGTACTCTTACCCTGGAGATCACCCTAATTGCAACTAATTGTATCTGTATTCTCATATCCATCCCAGCTCTGCGTTTTTGGTGTACAGTTTCCAGACTGCACCTGGCAGCCTTTTTCTTTTCACATTAATTTCAGCCATATATCTAAAATGTCCTCAGTGGGAATATTATAATCATACAAGAGATTTAAAATGGTACCTGCACACTTACCAATTTTCTTTGATATGTGTATTTATTAAGGGATTTTGTAAGGCAAACTAAAGTACTGAATGCACACACAGAGAACTATGCACAAAGCAGAGAGATGTGGAAGCAAAAATGAGAGATAATGAGGGAAAAACTGCCTCATGGAATGACAGTGAAAATATTGACAAGATATTCATAGATCTGGGATGAATCTTCT